TCCCTTAAAATAAATTAAATGTATCTAGAGGCAAAAAAAATGTTGTCACATGAAGAGTTAGTAGGCACTGTGAATACCTGAAACTCATCTTTGAGATGCGAAGAGTTTGTCTGAGAGTCTATTCTAATCATATCAAAATAAGCAGCTTTGAATTCGCAGACAGGAATGGCAGTTTCTCCACACAGGCAAGCTTCTAGAATGGCATCATGAATAAAGATGTACTGCTCCTACCAAATTAGGCAAAGAAACAAAAATTATAGCCATTTAAAAACAACAGATCTTTCCTTCTTTTAGGATAAACAGATCTCCTGCACACTATATAACTCATTAAAGGCAGTGTCCAGCAATCCATTAAATAATGCTTTAGTACAAACACAATCTCGTCCTAATTGGGATGCAGTTAACAAAGGTGTTTTCCTCAGAACCAATTTAAATTCAGTAAAACTTAACGGAACAGGCATAGCAATTTATTTAACAGGAGGTTTTCAGTTTTCCTGTGGTGCTTGTGGGTTTCTGCGTAAATGCCGGTGACTTGTTGGCTTTACTCATTTTGGTTTCTTAAAAATAGCTTTCAGTCTTATAATACTAGCACAAAGTGTAAATTGCTTCAAGTACTACTAGTGTGATTAGCAATTATTTGGCACGCTGCATTCTCCCTGTGCGTGTGCAAGCTAGTACACTGATTGTCTGAGAGCTGGCTCTAGGCCAGTAATAAATTCAAGTGTGTCCCAACAGAAACAGCATTTTCCTCCCATTTTTTTTTCTGACTTGCCTGGCGATATCCTGAGCCCCAGACAACTGCATTACTATTTCAGTCAGGCTTCCTGTCAATTTTTACACAACACCTATTATAGATACCCACCTCAAAATCAATAGATGTAAATCATGCCTATACAGCAAAGTGTGAGAACTGTGCCAGCCTCACCTAGCTATTGTGGATACCGATGAGGTTATTAACCGCACAAATTTTAACATGGGCCCGTAACAAGAGCACATGTCCAGGGACCGTGGTCATATTCTGGCTCTACAGCTTGTGCTGCCTTATCCACGGAGCTATGGAGCTAATGCCATCACTCTTGTTTAGATGACCATCACAAGAACGTGCTGCAATTAGAGCTTTATTTTGCTCTGCAAGCATGAACCTCTGAGAGAAGATGAGACGTAAGAGGGAAGAGTGAAAGAAAGAGAAAGGAACAGCAGTAGGGGTATTAATTCACATGCATGAGCAGATTAAACTGGGATGGTTGAAGCAGTCATACTGAAACACTCCACCCCACGCACTTCCCAAAGGTTAATGGTCCTGTACTGGGGCAGTTGATCGGGAACATTTATTTGTTTAACTGCCACAGGTTTCAGTATGGAATAACAACTGCACCAAATTACACTGATATGCCTGGCTGCCGACTGCAGAGATTTGCATGTGGTCACACGCGAAATAACTTTTTGGGTAGATGTCCACACGGAGGACGGGAGAGAGAAGTGGCAAACCATGTCAAGTAACCTGTCTTAATATAAATCAACAACCTATGTTTCTGTGGAAGTTCAGTGATACTCAGGCGGCAGAATGGGATCTGTTATAGCTTCACCACCAAGGCAGTGGTTTTACTGTAGAGTTGCTGAAGGCGTGACAAAAGATAAAAAGTGTAGAAAAGGAAAAAGGCTTGGTAATGAGGTTAATAAAGCAAATAAAAATAGAATTGAAAAGGAAGAGTCTGAAATGGACATAAAGTTCCACAGGTAAGTCAAATTATGGATAAAGTGACTGGAGATAGTCTAAAACCAGTGGCAGCCTGCTGAAATTCCAACTTTGGGTTCCTGGAATTGCTAATACCAGAGCTGGGGAGAGATGTGCCAGACAGGTCTTACTGTAGGGCTTTCCCTAAAAAATCCTCCTTGCTTTCCTTTGGTTACAAAGTCAGGTGGGTACTTGTTTGTGTGAAGCCTGAAAGAGCTGGCAGGTTTGTTGCACCATCCTGGTTCTGGGTTCTGTTTGCATTGAGCAACGCTCCCCAACAGAGAGAACCCCTCAGCAGGGCCGCTGCCTGCTCTTGGCAGAGTAACAGTGAAATTCTGACCTAGCATGTTTCAGAAAGCATCAGGTGCTTTGAGGGTAAACTGTCGTACCTCTGTCTGTACCATGTTGATGCGACGGGACCGTAAGGCTTTGACACAGTTGTAGATATCCACAACACCTTCTCTTTCTGCCATATCTAACATGATATCGATCACAATATAACAACCTGTCCGTCCAGCACCAGCACTAAAAAGAATGAGTAAATACTGTTAGGAATAGCCCCATGAAAACACCTACAAACTTTATAAACCCATTACTGACAGCATTTTTATAAATCCATTCAGTTCCATCAAATTTGATCCACTAAGCAACAGCAAAAAAAAAAAAAAAAATCTCCCTTTTATCACTCAGATCCTAACACTTATAGTAAAAAAGAAAAGTTAGTTAAACTGAAATCTGGAGGATGATTAAGTTCATGCACTTCAAAATATGACAGATCTTATTTTTATTTAATAAGACTAAGGATGATTTTTAAATGATATATTACAGTAAGAAACTCAAGCGTATGTTTTACCAGCCAAGCTCTAAGCTGGTTCAGGCAGCACATTTAACAGTATCCCGAAGAATCTCTCTTGATTTATTTTGGTTTTACATAGGACAGTTTTTGCACGGTCAATTCTTAAGATGTGTAAAGGATGAGTAACTTTATCTACAGAACGTAATTAAACATTTCATGGTGCTGAAAGAAATTTCTATTTGTCAAAGGACTGTGTCCCAACAACACAAACCTTGCAAAACTTGCACAGGAAAAACAACATTCTGTATTCGTTGCCATTAACCTCACTCTATCTTCCCTCATCTACTTGTTTACTTTGATTTAAATTAATAATCTGTTCAGACATTATATGCAACACCAAGTTATCAAAGCAGCTGTATCTACACTTATTCTTAAACGTTGTCACAAAATTGTTGTAGGATACCTAAAATGATAGCCTGAAGCATCATATGATTTAGCTGGTGCAGCTCTTGCAGGAAAAAGAAAATCTCTGGCTATTCTACTTAGGAAAAATGTACTAGAATCTGGTTATTTCCAAACATTGCTGTAGACAGCCAAATCCTACCGCAGTGCGAATTAGGCAATTCAAAAAGGGAACAACAAAAACAAAACACTTCAAAATGATGGATGCCTCACAAGAGGCTACTGTAAATAATCACATACACAGTTGTGGAAAAAAATCAAGCTACCTCTTCTGTACACACCTGCAATGGACAACAATAGGCCCGGCACTAGGAGGGTTTGATAATTTGACTCTCCTTATAAAGGAAAGCAGGCCTGTGGCATTGTAAGGAACTCCATGATCTGGCCAGCCAGTGAAATGAAACTGTTTAACTTCACGGATTTCATTGTAGCCCCTCTGTAAAAGGGGAAAAAAAAAAAGGTTAGGAAATTCAAAGTATTACATAGACTAGATATTCTCTGACTCAAATAGTGATAACACACACTGATAGAATCTACATGCTGTTTTCATCGTTTCACCAATTATTTAAAGCAGAGACCAGACGAAGCTTAAAGATGTCATTGAGGTTTTTTTCTCATTTTGAAGTTTGTAATTTCTACTTTTGCCATTGTGTGTGCTAGTTTTGCCTCATTAGATTTTTTTTTTTTAATATACCTAGACACAATTCGCATTGATTTTCAGACGTTTTGCTAATTAAGAAAATGGCCTGCTACATTTACAGGTTAGTATAATGATTTACCAGACCACCACAACTGTATCACATATATTGCATTCACAGAGTTTTCTTTGATCAAGTGAGATTGACTCAGCGGCATTCAGGGCAGAGTGAATGGAGATGAATGACGGGCATGACTCACGACCTGGTACTTGAGCTCAGAGAAGAGGTGACTGTCAGAGAGGGGAAGGTAGCAGGCAAGATTTCTGGGGAAATTTGAAATCCCACAGTGAGCTGCGTGTTTGGACAGCGCTGACGCAATGCATCGCTCCCACAATGAGGTAAGGCTGCCTACACTATGGATCTGCTAACCAGACAGAGGGTTTGGTATTGTACAGGAACATGTGCAAGCATAGCCCCCTCCATACTCCTTGCTACCAGGGAAGAGTATTTTGCCAAGCCCTTTCAAAATGTGCTCACCCTTCCCAGAGTGAAGGTCCTGACGACGTACTCTGCAAGGGGATCCATCTCTACACATGTCACTTTGAAGTCCCCATAAACTTCTGTGTCGTCAGGCCAGTACTTGTAACACTTGACCTAAATACAAAATGGGAACGCATTTTACACCAAAGGAAAATAAAAGCTTGAGGATACGTTACTGCATGTACTGCATTACACCACATTTATTTCCAAAATGACCATGCACTCATGTGGCTTGTCATGGCAAATGGCTGTTCTGTCAAGTTAAGCATCAGTTACAAGGAGTTTCCACTGCTTTACACAGCTGTACTTAGATGCCAAATTCATTTCTAAATGAGCATTTATATTTTTTTTAGTGCTGAGCTATGGAATACATTTCCACTTATGTTAAACTGGGATGCATTTTGTATCAGTAATCAAACCGCTGCAAGTAATCCCAGATACTTTATATTACTCCCTGAGGGATGTGTTACTGCTAAACTGTAAATAATTTGCTGATTTCTAGCCTCTGATATAGAAGCACATTTGCTCACTAGTCCACTCACTCTGCTCATTCGAGTGACAATATACAAATCTATTTTGCTGAAATATGAGTTTTGGATTCCGACAATTTTTCACTACTCATGAAAGCAGCACAGCATCAGTCATCTTCTAACAAAAGTTAGCCTTAGTTTTACACAATACCATAACTGCAACAATGTCTGGACTCCCACTCCCCCCTCCTCTCAGGATGCAGGGTTGTCCTTCACAAGACTCCTCTACATTCTGCTGATAGTGCATCTTGTCAGCAGGTTTTTCTTTAGGTTTGTGGCATTAAAAGAAAAACAAAACAAAAACTTACTCTCCCAACTTCCACTAAATTTGTGACCATCACAATGCAAGCTGATTGCTCCTGCCATATCATTCTCCAAAAGTCATACACAGTCTCATGAACTGGACCTGTAAGAAAAAATTCCAGGTAATACTGTGCAAAAAAAATAACAGTCAAAGCGAACGCTAGAAATAAAATCCAGTGCTTTTCAGAGCCGATACACATGAACACACTTGCTCAAAGATGAAAGCTTCATGAAACCACATCATCATACCATCGTGCCAGTTTCCAGTCTATATTGTCATTTCTAACTAATGCTGAATCTTCTCAGTTTAACTGAATTACCACTTGAAAGAAATTAATAGCAGGTGGTGAAACACCAGAAGTTTCTTGAAAACTATAAGGACACAGCAATGTGTGACTACATCTATAGTTCTAGGTTTGTTTTACATTTGTTAAATATGATGTGTTGAGTGAGCGTTTCTTCAGATGCCCGTGCTGGAGTGAAGCATCAGTCAGGAGGGCCGGCGGTCCAGATCCTGTGCGCTTACCTTCTAGCTCCCGGTAAAGTGTGCAAGCACAAGTAGGTGCCGAGCCATAAACTTCCCACTGAAGGGTATTTAACCTAACTTAACTACCTTTCTGTGAGGCAAATGAGGAGCACGTGTTTAAGCTTTGCCTCCTGCTCTGCTGCAGAGACAAGACACGTTCAGTTGAGCCGCAGAGGCTTTTATGCTGTTACAGACATCTCAGGAACAGCTCCCTGACCACAGCCTAGCAGTAGTATAAATATTACTGTATATAATACACATCTGAAGACTCAATCATATTCATTCATATGCTAGATCGAAGGCTGCATACAAAAGCAGCAATAAATTTTTGTGTCCTTTGCACACTATTATGTGCAATGATTTACATAGTAAAACAGAAATAAAATACAAATGTAGACTTAACTGCCATACAGAGACCTGTTTAGATGGCACTTACAGAAAAATAAAAAAAAAAATGCGGACAGAAATTTGAGCATCCTGCTTTAAAACAAGCCTTTAGTTTGTCTTTCCTGTGTGCAGCCACAATCAACCGAGGGCACAAATAACAGGATATTTCCAGCCAGCTATCTGATTATACTCACAAATCAAATAATGACACATCTAAATCCAATTATTTTTACTTTAATTCATAGCCTCTGATATTTCAGTGCAATCTTAGACTAATCTATTTGTTTTTCCTCATTGTGAGGAGTTTTATCAGAAATACAAAATGAGTAATTTCCATAGAAATTCAATTTTTCCCTCTAACTCTCCTTTTTATTAGCAGGGTGTTATACGATAAAGATTTCCCTCACTTCTTCCTACAAAGAGGCTTTATCCTACTCTGGCCTTACTTTACCCAGATTTTCGGAGATAGCATTTAATTCATCACTACTATCTTCACAGTCTGCATTCTGGACTAAATGCTAGACGGTAAAATAATATATTATAATACGGAAAGAAAAATGCCTCAAGGCAAGTTGAAACTGTTCTCTTCTCTGTCCACATTCCTCTTTTCTCTATTCATCTTCATAATTGGAAATCATGGTAGTAGCTTCTGACTTCATCAGCTGAATCTATCACTGAAAGAGTTGCTCAATAGCTAATTAACATGATAAACTAGTGCAATTTTTGCATTTATTCACATTTCACCTGAACTTGCTATGTTAATTTACCATAACACAAGATGACAACTCACAATATTGGATATGGTTTATTTTCACCTACTTCCATTTCACCAAAACACTGCTGGACACTACAGAGAACATTTGTTCGGTTCGATTAATGCTGGCACATTCTTACCTTGGGTTGCAATGTAGTGACTTGGTCTCTGATATCCCTAAAATAGCAACATAAGTTGGTTTGAGTACCATATTACTAACAGGGAGGGGAAAACAAAAGCATAAGGATACTACAGAATTCTTAACTCTAGACAACATTTTCAGAGCAAACCAATACTTAAGAGCAGCATGAAGCTCAAAACCTAAAAAAAATGGTTAACGCTGAAAAGGTCTGAATGACAACAGATAAAATGAAAATAACATCTGACTTGAACAGACATTGTAGTGTACCAGGAAGGAGTATTCTAGACTGGTCCCTTCGGCCTAAAAATTAGTCCTCTATTGACATTATCTCCCCAGCCAAATACATTGGGGCGTTCATTTAAAATTTAGCAAAAATTGTCTTTGTCACTGGATTATCTCAATAATTTATCTGTGTTCCCCACTTATAACCCAATATGAAAAAACACACACTTTTTGTCTTCTTCTAAATAGAGAAATACTGTACAGCACAAAGAGGTATGTACTCGAATTATAACTAATGGGGACAGAGCTGGACTCTGTGGTGTGTGCACAGAATCAAGGTCCTACTGCAGTGGAATCTTCTGCAAAATATTTTGCACTGTTGCACAAAACATGCATCAATTATACAGGACATGATACTCAAAAAAGTATATACACATACACATATATATATAGATATACACGACTAAGCCTTTCCAATTAGCTGGGTCTATGCCAACGCTAGTGGTACTGTACAGCATCAATCGTCTGCATACAAACTACAAGACAAAGAGCTGCTGCTCTTGAGGAAACAATTCAGAATATATTTTGACCAGTGCCAGCAACATTAGCTACAAAGAGGAAGGAAACTTTAGCGTTGCTGGTGAGAAAACAATACAGAATTTCACAACGTGCAAATGTTAAGGAAATAACTCCAATTATTTCCTAGGTTACAGTTTTATTAGGCCACTTGATTCAAGTATTGCATTACAGGGGAGAACAAGTCCTTGGATGCCTGGTATTCACAAGATGCTACTAAGTGAAGGATTTCAATGTACTCAAAAAGTTTATATCCTTTTCCAAGGACTCTTTCATTATCCTGTCTAGAGTGAGAGCACCTTCTTCTGGGGCTTATGAAAAAGCTCCCGAGTGTCTCACTCTTGGCTTTACAAGAGACCAAGACTGCATCAAACAACTAAAAAATTTCTCCTGGAGTCCTTAATATCAAGCCCCAGCTTCAAATTATGAAAGTGGAACCTGTGCTACACTGTTTTACACTCAGTAATGCTTTCCAGAAGAAGGTAAAAGTGTCACTTTAAAATTGCAAAGTGCCAGTTTTAACTTGTAGCTTTTCTGTCTGGTTATAATGAGATTCAATTCACTCCTAAATAAGAGAAACAACATCCTAAAGGAACTGGAATTATTAGAAATCTGGGAGGTTTTTCTTGTTTAAGACCCCGGGCAAAATATCATGGGCCGAACACTTCACAGAGATTGCCATGTTAAAATACCAAAATAAAAAGACAACAATATACCTGGAGCTAAATCTTTATATCCTGGAAAGTCAAAAGAGTCTTAAATGATTTATCAACTAATCGTGGACAGGAAAAATGAGTAAGGTGTAATTATAAAGAAAAGTAACCAAAGTGATGTATTTTAAAAACACTTGTACTAGCAATCTCAGTATCTTTTGGATTACTTCTGAATTACTTTGAATACAACAACTTGTTTATTCCTAAGGTGTTACTTAGATAAAATTATACTTGCTATTCAAAACATTTGGCATAATTTGTTCAAATTTCCTGTTTTTATCAGGTTTTAAAAAAATTTATAACTTAATTTGTAATTTAATCAAAGTATGAAATTTCAAACTTTAGAGGTTTTCTGCAGAAGTGAGGAAATTTCTACCACATTAAAATATTTATATATATATGTTTGTGTATGTACTTTGTAATACCTAAATTAGCACCTTAAGAAAAATGTCAGCTAAATAGTGTTTGTCTAATTCGTTGTTAAAAACAAACAAACAAACAAACGACCCCCACAAAAGGCCATCATACCTCTCTTTTTGCCAAACATGTATTACAACTACTTCACAGGTACATTTTCAGACGACTACAGTACAGCATACTATCCAGATTCTCACATATAAATGGGAAAGGCAAAAGAAAAGCTAGTGGCCAAAATTATCATTTTAAAAAAGTGAACAGTAAATTCTCTTTGACAGAGAGGTTCACCTGAATTATTTAACAATATCTAATAATATTCAGAGCTATGTTAAAAGGCTAAATTATCTTTTCAAAACACATACAAAAATATTCACACAAAAGGAAATTTTTTAAAGGAACAGATGAGATAAATTAGATGAAGCATGCATAGTTATTGACTGATAAAAATAGAAGAGGAAAGTAATTAATAACAATATCTATATTAAATATTTACAATAGGATGCCGTTAGTCACATATAGTGGTACTTACATCCCTGTACAGCCAAATCTACAGCCCAAACCAAAGTCAGATGTGAAAGAAAGCACAACAATGTCAGTGAGTACTAGGACGTAGAACAAGGAAAGTGTACATTTTGTTCTTAATAAAAGAAAGATTTCAATAAATTTATAGGCATAACATGCAATAGTTTCACATAGAGAAGCCGGCAAACTGAGAGGGAGAAAGCTGTCCAATCCACTCACATCTATGTAGTTGGCATTAATGTAATCTGAAGATGGATCATCTTCAACAGGTTGCAAAATCACCCTGGAGTGGTCATCTGTAAAAACCAAGTGGTTACGGTGCCTTTTTGAAGTGCGATTTTTAAGTAAGATATTATGGTAAGTCATCTAGAAAACCAAAATCAGCTGGCATAAGCACTCACAATTTACAACCCTTAAATAGTAGGTGTTTACACAGAACTACAAAGAACCATTTTGTCTGAGGTCTCCAATTACTTCGAAAACATTCACTAAACTTCATTAAATGTAGCTGAAAGGTATCACACTGTTACACATGGTTAAAAAGACACAAAGAAGCCAGGTTACTTGCTCAAAGTCCCTTTCAACATCAGCTCCACTGATGGTAATCTAGAAAACCAAAAATCCTGATTACTGTTTCCTTACTTCCGACCCCAGCCTGCTTAAGTTTAAACTGAGACATTAAAAAAAATAAATAAAATGAAGCAGTATAGGGGTTAGCAATGCACTTGGGATTCGATGAAGACGTAACTCTACCCATTCAGGGACTTCTCCAGTAGCTTCATTCCTGCACGTTCAATTGCATTTGTAAAACAACAACAAATTGTAAATTATCAGAAAATTAACATCCAAATGAGTGCTAGCTTGTCGCTGTTATATGCTTACCACAGCTTGCACAACAGAGATGCAAATGTGAAATTCAGCCCGAGTTATAAAAGGAAGAAAGTTGAACTGCGAAGGACAAAAAAAAAAAAGCTGGAAAAGGTACTGTCCTCCTCCTCTGTGTGGGGTATTAAGCAGCTATGCCACCGGAGACTTGTAAGGAAAGAGAGAACACGGCACGAGTAACACATGACTACAGCTATGGCTCAAACCAAGTGCACTGATACTCACATGCTATAATGTTTCCATAGCGGTTCTTTGTTCTGTTTTGATCCTTCTTAGCGACATCCCAAGAAGCTGACTGCCCCTCAAAGAAACTCTATAAATAAAAATGTTCCGAAAGAAAACATTCTGACCATTAATTTATCTCCAAAAATAACAGTTTAAAAGAACTGCCCTACCATAAAGTAAGCTCAGCTTTGCTCATCCACTCTGGTCACCCAGGCGGTACCATGGAACAGAAATATATACATCTAGAGAAGAAAGGAGGCTCTCTCCCCCTCTTGACTGCTACAGGTCAATGGGCAAGTCACTGAGGGACTCCAGAGGGAATTCAAATCCTGGAATCGCTGGAAGGCTAAACTTCCTCAGACATCCTTGCCATGGAGCAACAACAGCAAGCTGAGAAAGCACAGAAAGACCGATCACACTTCTTACAAGACACCATAAAATATAGCCTGTTTGCTACAGCATTACATTGCTTTCCTCATATTGCTTAGTAAAACAGCCTTTCTTCCTACAGAGCCATCAGGAAGTCTCCTCTGCCAACGTTCATTGTTCATGTTGTTTTTCCTTATATCCCTCCCTCTAGCCACTAGCAAAAATATTCTACATTTTTTTAACTCTTCTTAAGAGTTTAATCTCTCAGTAGCGATAGGAACAGCCTTTATTCCTCCTTGGCTTTTTTCTTCATTGCCCGTAGATACTTTACAGCTGTTGCAGGTCTATGCTATTCTTTCCTTCCAGATGTTCTCTTATCCTGATCTGGGTAAATTACCTCTAGAAAGTACACAGTAGCCACAGAAACAAAACTTTAATGGACACTCAGAAGCCCAAGCCAGGCCAAACATGTTGTGTATGGTAACAGAAGAAGTAGCAAGTAGGAAAACACCTGATGTGGCATCAGTGACCACCCTCCCCCCCAGCAGTGGCTGACACTTGGGCTTAGCCCTGAAGTTAGGCAGAGCATAACGAAGCGTATTTAAGTAAAAGAGAGGAAAAGAGAATAATTTTCTTTTAAAAACCACACATTTATTTATTCCAGTTCTCATGTTACAGTAGAGACAGCTGCAGAAAGGAGAGAAGGTTGAAAACTGAGTCAGAAGAGATTACTTACTCAGAGAAAACTTATTTTAAACCTAGCTGTATTGCGAGCAACCTTGGCAGTACCATTCCCATCTTTACTGCATGTCCTGCCTGATATCCTAATCCCAAAGAATCACAACAGATTCAGAGATCAGAAGAGAAATGAATCTCTACTCATCTTCTGCCTCCAGTGCTGGGAATTTTTGGCTTCCATGTTAACATTAAAGTTGTAAGTAGACATGCTCAGGCAGGTCTAATTAGAACTTCAAGATGTTACTAACTCTCGGCACGTCTTTACTGCTTCTCAGCTGGAGTTTAGTCCCGTATTGCCCTACTGAGATGCTTTAATAAATCATGAGAGTGCTTCCAGTCAGTGCTTCTTGCAAAACCGGCCAGGTTAAATCTTCACTTTAACCTAATCCAGGAGATCTGCACTGAAGCTGGCTCAGAAAGCTCACATAACTAATTACAGCATTTCAACTAAAACGCAGCAACAAAAAGGTAGCAACTTCTTACAATATGTTGCAAAAAATTCAGCAGGGCATGTCTTCTTATACCCTAAGGAAGACACTTTTTTTCTCCAGGCATCAATAAAAGCTCAAACCATTGGACTCCATTCAATATTTCACTTTTGAGTTACATATGTAGGAATCTTATGCCTGCTTATCTTTATCTGTTTTTCACTTAAACCCATGACATTTAGTTGCACCCTTTTGCAATGCAACGCAATGCAAACAAAAGCCTGCCCCTTTCAAAGGGATTTTTCCTAGCCAAAACCCACCACTGAAGATCTCACCTCATACTCCTCTTTAAATCCATAGCTGTCAGAGGTCTTCATTAGGTTAATGTGCTGCAGGAGATCAGCCACCCTGATGGCAGGGTGCAGCTGCCCAGTCTGGTACGGGGATTCTGTGCCTTCGCAGAGGTAACGAGGGACATCCAGGAGCCGGCTGGACTCCGCTGTTGCACTGTGATTTTCATCTATATTCACAAGAAATCAATGCGTTAGGTACTGGCAGAGCAATAACACCTGCTGCTATACATACCAACATCTATTTTCAACCTCTTCCTTCAAAAACATGCCTAATTTCTGAAAACGCAAAGCACTTACCCTGCAGCACATAAATACTGTTAAGTACATAAAGGAATTTAACTGCAAACACATACAAAAGTTTGCAATCCTTCATCCCGCAATAAAGATGTCTGAAGGGCATTTTATTTGAAGCTACAAAACTTTATGACGTTAATGTACTTGGGAACTCCAGCCCCTATCACCCAAAGTAACTTTTTTAATGGCTAATATGTATCAACAGCAATACTACACCTAAAACATTAAATTAGAATAACACTGTAGTGGTATCAGCATGTCATTTGTCTAAAGCCAAGAAAGTAAATTGAGATCCCAGTAAAGAAGAGAAGCAATTACGCTACCACTTCAGAACACCACCTCCATTTGGGAAGACAAATCAGCACTTCAGAGTCATCATTTTAACTCAGGTCTTTTAGTAGAGAAATGAAACTGTTGGGTGTGCTGATTTCAGCCGCAGTTTTTGCTCTGGATAAACAAAGTCGTCTCCTCTAATGCCCTATGCTACACCAACCCTCTTATCAAAACCAAATGTCAAAGCTGCATGAAGTGATCACATTGTGTCAAACCCTTCAGTGAAACAGTTTGGTGGCTTTTTTTTTATTTTTTTAAATTAGCAATCAGTAGTTCAAATGAATTTACAGAGGAAGAAAAATTCTAATTGAAACCTTTTTGGAAAATAGCTACTGAAATAAGAAGTGGGTAGCCAACCCCTCCTACATTACATTGAAATCAGTTTACCATTTTCCTTGCAAAGGATCCAGATGAGGAAGTAAAACACTCTAGGAAAAAAATGAACACCCCAAGGGTTGGATTTTCTACAATTCCACCAAAATGCAAACCCTGTTAATGCCTTCTGAAATTAGATCTCCTAGTAAGAAACCTGATTCTTTGAACTGTGACACAAGTTGCTAATTTCAGTACATTTATGCCTCACTAAACTGCCTAATAATGTGAGTGACATGCAGCAGTCACTTTTTATTGTAATGTTACCCATATTAAATCACACACATTTCAAACCACCTCAGGATTTGCAGTTCTCCCCATTCCTTGCTGTATACTTACCAGTAATAGGCACTTTAACCCATTGAAGCAGCAAAAAACAATGAGTGAACAGAACATAAGAAATTTATTTCAGGACTATATTAGAAAATGACTAAAAGAAAATGACATTAAAAGTTGTTAAAGCTTCACAATAGGTAACAATGGAAGCCATTTAAAAAATATAAGGGCAACATTATTATGCCATCAATGTAATGATAGGGATTTGAGAAAAGCAAAATTGTCATACTAACTCAGTGCTAATGTACACAGAATGGAGAGTAGCATTTATAACCTATACATGAAGAAAAAGAAACTAGTACAGCTAAAAGTAATGAGAACTTCATCTAAAAAAGCATGTTCTATAATTTAGAGCTCATTCAATTTTGCTCATCTCTAAATAAAACAGAGGAAAACTGTTTTGTGATGCTGGGCCAAACAAGGGATATATGGAGATGGAGCAGGTCAAATGATCTAGTTCCAAAGGGACAAGCTTACGGGTATCCACCCTCTTCTACATAGTGTGCCCAAACGCTTGTCTACTTCTCTCCGCTATTTCAGTCCATGCAATGAAAAATATTACCTCTTCCAACTAGCATTGCTTTGCTTATACCAGGAGACTATCATGCCTCAAACACCATTACCAGTAGATGGAAATGCAGACAGGAACTATTAAACCGTTCTTCAATTAATTCCTTGCCCTTGCTGTTCACAGCTGCCCGTGTCTGTGTCTGCCACAATGTAGTGGCAACACATTGACCTTTGGAATATGCTTATAGCCTAAACGAGCTATTAGGAATAGCTTGACAAGTAGCATCAGATAATATCTATGTATCTCATAAGTGCCTGAAATAAAGCTAAGAGACAAGAAGATCCTAGAATAATTTCAGGGAAACACTCATTTCCTCTAAGTCCATTGATCTAATTTCAGTAAGCATTCAGAATGACCAAGTCTAACCCCTGGCTCTTTCAGACACAGTACTATTTCACCACCTTTCATAAACTTCTTAAACCACTTGGTTAGGTTTCCTTAGGCCTAACATCAATGGCTCCAGCACCTAACTGCTCTGATGGTTATAAACTTTCTAAGACACCAGTGTAGTCAAGAGAATGGCATTTGCAACTCTATCAAAAGGAAATGAGCAGAATATGACTTGATAGATCTCCCACCTGGTGAGTATACCCAGCTTGACAAAGACCAAAGACTACTCACAAATAGCGATTTGCTGTCAGTCTCAGAGGACACTTCACATGAAGATCTGCAAAGGTTCCTCCTGGGTATACTTGCTATCAATATTTTTACCCACAACTTGCATCATGGGATAGAAAACACCCTGACAGTATGGGCAGAGGGCACTGACTGGTAAGGTACCACAAGCACTTCACAAGTACAGGATCAGATTTCAAAGTTATCTTGATTATTTGGGAGACAATGCAAAAATCAACAAGGGGAATTAAACAGTGAATGCAACATACTGTGTGTAGGAAAGGGAATTCAAACATCTAACTACAAAATGGAGTAATGGACTGGGTAATGGTAACTGGGATTTCAGCAGGTAACTCCATGCAAGTCAGCAACACGAGCATAATAAAAAAGACAAAATACAGTTCAGGGAGCAGGAATAGTACACACAGGGCATGGGGGTACCTATTACACTCAGCTCATCATTGAGACTTCTTCTAAAAACTGTACCTGATTTGGGGTACTGCAATTTAAAAATTCAACCTATGAGTTGGAAAGTGTTCAGAGGAAAAGAATCATAACAAGTTTAGAAAACATCAGCTACAAGATGACGAGTGAAGGAACTCAACTAGAAGAGAGAAAATTGAGGACATGTGAGCCTTTCAATGAGTAAAAAACTGTTTTAAAAGGACAGGAGTGTGTCAGTTCTCCATATTTTCTGTGAATGTCTCAAAAGGAAATGGTTCAATCCACAGTAATGAAGATTTAGTCTAGATTAGTTAGGAAAAACTAGGAGTGAGCAGTAATAATACTCAGTAGTAACATCCAGTTAGTAGTACCTAATGCTCAGAAAATTGAGCTTTGGGTCCCAAATAATACTAATACGGATCTGAATTTTATTTAGGAGGAGCGAAGCACTGGAACATGCCATGGCAAGAGTTGAATTCTCTTCACTACAAATTTTTAGAATACAATAGACAATCAATTGCCAGAGTCTGTATTATACGTGTAATGTTCCATCTCAAAACAGAGGAGGGATCAAATTGCCTCCAGGTCCCTTTAAGCTTTATTTTGAGAATCTAATTTTCAACTTCAGTTTGTATTTATGTCCACTTCCTGATATATGTCTTTTATCCTAAAATAACCTCAGCAACTGACTGAAACTCAATACTGCACTTTATGTTTATCAAACCAAGAACTTGGGTACAAATTATACTTTTATCTATGTATTTTAAAAAAAAACCACTAAAACATGCATTCAGTGTTAGATACAACACAGAAATAAGCAGCCTGGTCACTCCCAGCATCTGAAGTAAGTACGAAGTTGAAAAACTTACTAGGTAAGGTCAATTGAAACATGTAATTAATATAGGTATACAGGAGTACCTGTATAGAACCTACAAAGTTGTTGTTCTTAGATATTATGGAATTTTCTCCCTCTTCTACTTTTCATTCTTGTTACTTAGAAAATCAAGCTTTGCCTCCCAAATAATGCTAATATGGATCTGAATTTTATTTTTACGTATCTCTTAACAGAGTTCTAGTTTCACATGTCAGTTCATCAGAACTCATTTTGAATGCTCTGAGGAGAAAAGTTTTAGTATTTTCCATTTACCTATTTCCTCAGTTACTCTTCAGTTAGCACTGACTAGGAATAACTTCTTAATGAGAACATAAAATAATTTTTATTCTAAAAGCAGTGTCAGTTTAATTCTGAATTGATAAACCGAGTGTAGAGTTATTTTCTGACAACAGCATTGCTATCTTTTACATAAAACAAGCTGTTTCAAAGTTCAACCATGCAAGGAGATGAAACTCATGCAGGAATGGATAATGAAGGACTCAGGTCCTCACCTAACACAGCTGTCGGCACAAGTGGATCATTGGGCACTGTGGGAAAACAAAGCTCATGAAGAAATACATTACCCTCCATTTGTGTATTTTCAAGAATAAAAACAATATACTTCAGAGTATAACCAAGTGATAACTAAACCCCATTAATTTTATTATAACAGAAAAACAGAACAAATACACAGTTCCAGAAAGCATTCTGAATAAAAGAGGAATGAAAGGCAGTTATTTTGGACTTCAGAAATATAATGATAAAGGCAAAGAGATTCTTACTGAAATGAAATAAAGACGACGTTACATGCAATTTAGTTTTTGAAAGGGCTTCTCTTTCACTATTGTTCTTTGCTTCACAATAAAGGTTCACTTTCACAGAACCAACTCCTTTCCTTTTAAACCCATCCTCTCATGTAATACTTGAATAGCTCATCTCAAAATAAAATGGTATTTCTTTAAAGTCTTCTAGGTAATTAAAAAAAATTCTATACATATTTACAGTTAATAGCTTTTTTTATGTGCAGTGCCAAAGATATTGCTCTTAGGAAAATCACAGATACACAGGTGCAGGTGCTTGAATAACATTCATAGAAGTTCATCATTCGTTATCACAACTAGAACCGTGCAGAGACAAATGTGCTGTTCCAGACAGAAATGGCAGAATCCAGAAACTGGTTTTGTTCCAATCTGGAACAAAAATTTAAAATATCAACACCTCTATGACACAATTGAGCTCCAGTTCTCAAGCAATCTGCCTAAAAGTTTGTCGCATAGCAGGAAACCCTGAAAGTTTGGAAGGCTTTTTGCCTCAGCACAGACGATGGTCAGGAGAACTGAATCCTCCAACACCCAAAAAATCACATACCTAGGATGCTGGAAAACAGTGATGCTGAACTTCTTTGCCAACCAACCAGGACAGTTGTGCTGGCTGGGGCTCACGGGTCCTTGGCATCACGTTAGTCCATCTGGAAGGCTGCCCAAGTGCCTGGCAGCCCCGGCTCACTAATGACCATGCAGGTTCCTGATGAATACTTTGCCTGGGATCCACCAGAACTTAGTCCAAATTGAACGGTCTTTGCAAACCTGCCTCCGCAGATTTCAATGCCAATAAGACATCAGACTTTGGAGAATTTTCAAACAGTTCCAGCCAAAACTGTGTAGAAAAACTCACAGGCTGATACTAAACTCCCATTTATATTTGGTTATGAGACGCTTAAAATGTTAGCACTCTGTAGTTTGGTATGCTTCAATAAACTGAGCAATAAACTCTCCTCCAAAAGCCATTTCCCTTAAAACAATCAGGAAAGAACTTAAGAGCCTTAAGGGATGTATTTTGCTCAAGCATGGTAAGCACTATGGGAGGCAAGACAAGTGAGACTAGAGTGCCATTCCCAAAAGATGGCAATTCAGAAGTAGCTCAGGCTGCTCAGATCTCTTTAAAGCCAAGCCACACGACCATGTGGCTGTGCCAAGGTCAGGTTCCTGTCAGCTCCATGGCAGAATTGTGTCACTTTGGTAAGTTAAACCCTAGTTTTGAGATATTCCGAGTCTGCCAGTGCATTTTCTTGTTTTTGTGCAAGGCATAGTGCAGATGTTTGGAGGCAAGCGTGCTGGACAGTGATAGCTATAACCCAGATATTTAACAGTTAGAAACCCAAACTGCCAAACTTTGTCAAAACCAGAGAGCTAGCAAATCAACAAAAAATGAATGCAAATATACAGCAAATTTGCAGATATATTAACAAGCTTGTTCCTAAACTTCACAAACAGCAACGAAAATTGTCAATGTTTCCTTCTGTTGTAACATCCTTACTGTCAAAAGAAAGAAATTAATTTGGACCTCATATTATTATTCACTACAGACAGGGTGTTACACAGCAATATTTAACATGCTGGTATTAAATATCCTCATGAGGGAAAACTCAGTGTCAGATTTTAATTGAGATATTCTAGAAGTATAATATTTTCCCTAGAACAAGTATCAATGCATACTGAAAATACAGGTGAATATTTAAATAACTGGCCACACAACAATAAGGATAACATACGAACATCCCTACTAAACCTTTGGGTTTACCGGTGTTCTTAGAAAACCTGGAGCCTACAACAATTTTCCTGAAAAAGTAGATTTTTTTCCCATGTTTCTATATTCACCTACACTTCAGAGCATCTATGACAGTCGTACTCACATCTGGGGCTGAAGTTATGAGAGTCCATAAACGTGATTGAAAGGGGATCCTCTGCATGCAGGGTGCTCTGGTCAGCGTAACTCCTATCCATTGCATTCACCATGTGTGTCATCTCCTGGCGGGTGGTCCCCATGGCATCCTTGCGCTTCTTTGCAAGTTTGCTGCCCAGCCAAAAAAAAAAACCCAAAGCACCTTAATATTTGAGGAACATTGATGTCTACAGTAATCACTACCTATAATCCTGAGTGACTGAAAAGTTTGGCTGATTTTCCTGTGTACAACTTTTCCAGCGTGAAATTGATAGAACTACGCACCCTGCTATGAAAGAGTCGCGATCATGTGTTTTCTGTACACACATAAAAGCTGTAATGGAAGTGCTAATTTCTGTACCCTGGTAATATTTTTTTTCCTGCGGAGTAATTACACAAATATAAACAAATTAGAGAATATAATTACATTTTAACTGAAATGATAAATAAGAAGCTTCTGTGCATGCAGTTTTATCAACCGTCTCCATTTAAATCTGTGTTTTGGTTTTACAAATGGATAATTCATTCCCCTTGCTTGCCTTGTTAGGAAGAAATCATTTAACCTGCTAAATTACTTTGTTAGTCAAAAACCCTATGAAATAACAAAAGAAACATAATTATTTGATATGGATTCATATTACCTTTTATGTTAAAAGTTGTTCTTCCCATTCAGTACACAAGATACAACATGATACCACACTTCACTCCTGATACTGAACTTTGGTTCTTTAAAAAACAAACAAAACCTCCCTCACCACTCTATATTTTCATGCAGTTTGGGAATATCTTAAATTTTGACATTAACAGTCTTACACTCTGAATGTACCACAGTTAAACAGCAACCTAATCTGTACAACTAAATCCCCCAAATTAACAGCCAATGCCCTTCAAAGTGCACACTTCAGAAATATCTCTCAATTCTTTCCTTTTGATGAAGAACTGTAAGTGATTTTCACTGTCTCCAGAAGTCAGATGGAAGCAGATAATATATTTTAATTATCACTTAAAGCCTACTACTCTTAAAGCACGTATCTCAAGTAGTAAGCAGGCAGAGCAGCATGAAGTGCACCTTGGTGCTGCAGGAACCCGTGACATACATTAGACGGTTTTGAAATCTCCCTATTTTCATCTGAAGCTGCAATATACTGCAAGATAATTGATAGCCAACCTGCTTATTTGGATAAATCTGACACCACGTGGGAGAGACACAATCATCACTGAAAATACTAGGTTCTTGAAAATGTATGTTTAAAACACAGCTTAGCTTCTGCATAAAGTAGCACCAAATTTCTTGTTAACTCTTTAGACAGTGTTTATCTTACATTTCTCTGACAAGGACTGCTTGCTCTTCCTCTATTCTCTGACAACTTTTAATATTCTGTGCCACACTTAAACAGTAGACAAAAAGAATATTACTGTACGTTATCCATCCATTTACTTGTTAAGTCCTAGGAACACCCACCAGACAGGACCTACACCACTCTCTAGGGCAGGAAGCACTTCATGGTTTTACATATTTAAGAAACTGTTAGAGGACTGTTTCTTAAGTTAATAGTCTTGGTTCACAATAAGGGGCCACAAAGTGGGATATAGATGGACAAAGCACTCCTGAGAATAACGAAGATTCGTTCACCGATCAGACCCATATTCTTATTTTGTTCCTCCCCTCTGCCTTTCTTTTCCCCATTTACAGATAGACTAGTTGGAAAATTACTTACTACTCAATAACGCCCTCACTACAAAAATCCCAAAGGCGGTCTCTAAACCTACCATTTTTTCACCAAACCCTTGTGGTGTACATGAGGGTTCTGCGTGTATCGGTTGTTCGGTCCCCCTTAGAATGCTTTATTTTATACGTTTACTCTACACATTCCTATTTACTTAAGTACAGGTTTAAATAATACTCTGGTCGAACAAATGAAGACAATCAGAACTTCCAGAAGTGAAACTGCTTGAACTTTGTAACTGGTTCCCAATACTATCAAAGCTTTAACAAAATCGGCATTTCTAGTTCAGATTGTTTTTTTAAGTTTCAGTAATTTTTTTAAGTTTCAAAGCCTTTCAGACAGTTTCTATACACTGAAGATGGCCTTTTTCTAACACCACCTCAGAAATGGAACAAAAAGACTATTACACCTCATCTCTTGCCTACATTAAGCCTTTCTTTGAAGCATCACTTTGTAACAAAACTTGCTAGCTACGCTAAATAAATCAACAGCTATTAAGGCTTTCAAGTTATTAGCTTATTACAGTAGCTACTTTCTAATTCTTATGCTCTGCTTCAACTCCTAAAAAGGCCTTTTGTGTTGTAGCACCGCAACCCAAAGCTGCTGGGAAATGGGAGGACAGCTTTATTGTTCAACAGCTCCTGGCTCCCTTGGGTTTGACTTCTTTTTCCTTTCCTTTTTTTTCCTTCCCTCATTTGGCTGAAGACACAGGCAATCTATGCTTCATGATAGTTAAGCAAATCGTTAGGTTAAAGTACTTGAGGCTGACAGAAAGTGTAAATGATTCTCATTATCTGCTGAAGGATCCAGTTGGGTGAACCTGCGCAGGTGGGTGTTTCAGTGGGAGCTGGAGGGGAAAAGTGCTCCATCATAGGATGAAACTGTGCGGTTAATTATCTTGAGCTGAAGCAATTGTTATTTAACAAGGAAATTATAATTTGTCACAATAAACTGGAGAATGGCAGTTAGCTAAGCCAGCTTAGCTTTTTTTTTAATTTTATTTTTAAGTTTGTTTAAAGAAGTCAACTAATCTGCTTAAAAATGGGGAAGAGCATCATTATCAGACACTACCGGTTCATCAAAGCACTTGAGTGCATTCCTGGATCCCCATTGAAGTCAAGGGCTTTATGCATTTATTTAAAATTAAGAATGTGTGTAACTGCTTTTCTCAATCACAGTCAAAACTGCTGCAGCCCTCACAAAAACTCATTTGGTCAACATGTATAAAAAAGTTCAATTTTACTTCAACGAAGCAAAACTTTATCCAAATCAATGTCATAACGTAAGATCCACACTTTAAGATCTGTATGCAAGGCACCTCACAAGCAATAGAGGTAGACCACTTCACAAAAAATATTTCTGTAAAAAAGAAACCAAAAGGTTGGTACCGCAGAGGGAGATGTGTTGCTCTGTCATCGGTAGGGCAGAGATCTATTTACAAAGGTCTGGTATCTGCGTAGGAAAAGTGATGCACAGGATCACTCCTGGCAACTGATAGGCTAAGAAAGAACAACTTGTGATTTACAAGCACAGTTCTCTAGCTAGGAAATGGGAAAAGAGGTTTTCTGCCTTAGTGTGATGTATTGCTGTGAATCATAATGCAAATTAAATTATGATTACAACAAACTAAAATGATAGTTATGGGAAAAACTGTAGCAAAAAGCAAAAGTCTCAATATACAGTTAGAAATACAATATCCCTTTAAAAAAAAACAGGGTAAGAATAACAGGAGCAATGATACAAGCAATTTGTCAAGCCTGAGAATAAAGAAAGGTAACTATCAATAAAACTTTAGGAAAATTACAGAGACTGTTTTTATTTTTTAAAAAGGGATACTGCATCTTTAAAACATGTAAAATAGTAAGTCACCCGTATTCTACTTACAGATAGTAGGAGTAAGAATAGTAGCTCCTCCTGGCAAGCAAATCACAGACAGTGGAAAAAGAGAAGCAATGGTGAATGAAAAGCGTGACTCTGTCACATTCAATAAAGCAGAGAAATGTGCGTTTAAAAAAAAAGTTGAAAAATTCATGTTTCTTTGGTTAGCATTTCAACTTGCTCATGCACAAACTAGCCTTACTTTGCCATGCAATTAAAAAAAATACACTAGCATATAAAAATGATGGTTTTTAGAAAGATCACTTGAGAAAATTACATGCTGAGATTTCATTTAGTGCCAAAAAATTTGAAAATTAAATGGATTGTGTATTTTCAACATGCAGTTCAGCATAATATAATGATTACCGCCTAGATGTCATGAGAAATGAACAGCTGTGTACAAATCTTGTGCAGTAAATATGCTTTTTACTTTTCAGTGACAAAAACTAAAGATTCCATTAATAAATACATTTAATCAGAAAACAAAATTTCATGTCATTCATTTTAACATCTTTATCGGTACACAGGTGTATACATATATGTTTGTATGAGTATTATATGTAGCTATATGAGTACACACATTTTAAAGAATGCACGTTTACAACAGATATGTGTGTACCGACATATATACCACACATTTCCTGAATGCAAACATATGCTCTCTAATTTAAAATCTTACAACTGGAAATGCTGATGTAGTCATGCTAAGCATTAAAAACATGGAAGGTAAACAAATGGAAGGAAATGAAGGACATCTGGAAATAGTCCAACAATGACTTTGAAAATAAAAATGGCATTGCTTGTTAAAGATGCAGTATCCCTTTTCTTAGTTGGTTTGATTACTCCAGTAAAACTCTGTGAAGAGCTGGTAAGAGCTTCATTCGGGAAAACTTCAAACCAATTTGTACAAAATGATCAGGCAAAGCCTAAAACATCTCAAGCTTGTCAACAAAACTGCTTAGTACTCCATTTTTCAAGAAAATGTAATGCTGAATTTAATCAGTTTGAGATAGCGATGGCTGTGCATACGACTTAATAAACCAATGAAAATGCAGAAACCATTGTTTTATTGACTTTTCTGTGTAATAAGCTGTGGTCAATTCAGGTACCAAAAGGGATACTACATAACGGATCACCGAATATGTACACTACAGAAGATGATTCAGACGGATCGGTTTCCAGTCCCACCACAACTAAGTGAAGTGTGTTTATGTACGTGTGCATGTGTCAGCTGTTCCTGGCTTTGTGATACGATTTGCCCTGACAGACGGATCGGTTTCCAGTCCCACCACAACTAAGTGAAGTGTGTTTATGTACGTGTGCATGTGTCAGGGTTTTTACAGCTGTTCCTGGCTTTGTGATACGAATTGCCCTGATTCACTAGATGGACTGAATTTTCAAGCTCAGATATACAATGGTTTTCTATGCTTTTTGTAAGAGACCTTGACTAAAGCTGGTATTAAAAAAAAACCTGCCCACTTTCCCCAAGCTGGGGGGAGGGAATGGCACACCTATAGCATACGCAATAGACAACCAATTAAGCTATCATGATGAAAAATTGCCAAACATTAAAGATTCATTAAACAGGTTAATTTCTCACCTATTTGGAATACAAAATAGTACAGGAATTTAGAAATGTTATGGGCTTTAGAATGATGATCAAGTATCATTCCTAAGAGGGTACTGACTTCACGGGCTCAGAAAAGGGATGGGGAAAAAAGGGGAAAATTTAAAATATCATTTCATGGACATGATTAACTTACTTTTATCAAACAATTCAACAGGGAAAGTATGAGTCTAAAAGGACTCTGAATGCAAGAGGTAAAAAGGATAGGAAAAATGAACACACTGAATTTTAAGCTGCTTTTTTTTTTATTACCTGCAAAACTAGTCAATCCCATCTGGAAGTGACTGACAATCTATAGTGGTAGACAGTCTCTCTCGCTCACACACACACACGTGCACACACACAGAGTCTTCTTTTATACATACAGGGACCACTGCAACACGCACTGAGAAGATGATACTCCCCAGCACGTACCTTGGAATAAAGCTATAAAATAGACATTTCTTCCTGAAAGCTGAAAAACAACTTGGTTTTTGTTTTTCAAAAGTTGTGTAAACAAAGCAAACTGTCTGACTCTATGTCTTTTTCTGCATATGATGAGTTGGACCTTTTGCATATGTGTTAATTCTCAACCACAGAGGTAAACAACAGAGAAAAGTAAAAGCACTTTTGGGAAAAATCACATATGTAGCTAACTAACACAGAACACTATAAGCATACCTAATGTTTCTAATGCAGACGTTTCTTCTCCAAGTTATATATCTCCAGGGATAATTGTAAAGAGGCAATAAATTAAAAAAATCTAATGCAAACCAGTAATTATAACATATAGAATGATCTTAGGTACAATTTCAATTTTTTTTCTTAATCTTTAAAAATAACAGCAAGCTGCATTTCAGAAGAACATTTGCAACATTTACAAATACATATTTCACTAGGAATTCTGCAAAAGGCAAGGGAAGGCAACGCACACACCACGGGAAGACAAAGGTCTCCTTCTACCCAAAAGAAATCAGCCGGTGCCCTGCAAAGGGGACCCACTAGGAAGGGGTGGCACGGAAAGAGAGGAATTGTTGCGATGCTATAACTACTGATTTATAGAGCCGTATTATGAACTTTTATGACAAGTTAAAACGCTTGCAACTACGGGGAAGTCGAGACTTAAAAACTGACCGAGCAATAAGGTAGCACAAGTTACTACAGGTAGGAGCATTTGGATGCGGCGTTAGCATTGTACAGTGCCAGAAGATGGCGATATTGCTTATTGCCTAAGAAAGCACTGAAAAAATTAAAATTCATTCAAATTAATACACTTTTAAACAATTTCATGCACTAAGGACTCGGTAGATAATTTTACAGTGATGTGGTAAGACTTTTAAGAAAAAATTCCAGGTTTACAAGAGCATAAATAGAGGTATAAAATTACATTATTTTGCAAGTTGGATAACATACAGATACAAGTAACTCATTAGAGCTGCATATAGAAAAATCAAATTCATTAGGTGATTACAACATGAAAAGTGCAATAAGTTATTCTTTTTTTCTCTGTTTTAAAAAAATAAAAGGCTCCATGAATTTCAATTCCACCCATTTTAATATTATGCACACTCCTCCAACTGCAACTTAAAACTACTTGGAAATAAATATGAGAAAATGTATAGCTATCGGATCCCAAATATAAAGAAACCCTCTCTTTAAATCCATCATAAGAATCACAGCAAAAACAACAGGAAACACAAAGAACTCCTCTAAAAACTGTTGTGAGCTACTGGTCCTGAAACTTCTTTTTTAAAAAACACCTGTAAAAAATACTCATTTAGTTATTGTTTGATACTGAGGAAAAAAAGAGGGATCAGCGCAGATCATTTTCTTACCTTTTTTTGACGATCAATATGACAACAAGGAGAAGTAGGATGAATACCAGAATTCCAGCACTTATTCCTGCTATTTTCACCACTCGATCTGTTTGTTTAGCCGGATCCGGAATCACCTCAGGTTCTTCTGTTGCTGCTGCTAAATGAAACAAAAAAGAAGCTGCTTAAACATGTAAGCACTAGAGACAAGAAAATCATAATTGGTGATAATTTCCAAATATGTGTGTGTTTTAATACAGTAGCCAGAATATAGATACATGCATCATGTGTTTATACATCTACACATACGTATATAGACATACTATAAATTTCAATCTATATGCCATACATTTGCAACACCAAGTACAGGACTATATATGTGTGTATACAGGTGCGCATATATATACATAAAACTTCATGTATACAGAAGTGCATCTGGATTTCCAAACAAGTTACTGTATTACAAAGCAGAAGACAAAGCAGAGCCAATCTATCCACCTAATCACCATTACATCCTTTGATGTTATTTTTTCAGATGTTAAATACGGAATATTTCACATTGACTAGTGAGATCACATTAACTCACAAACAGTAAATTAAATTCTCTTTTCCAGGCTGCAGCCGGCACCCTGAACTCTAGTCCTTCTCTCCTTCACCCAATTTCAGTCCACCTTTGTGTATTAATCCACCTTACAGCATCTGGCCTGAGATCTCCATTCTATTGGGAATTTTGATTCTCCGAATAAGGTCATTCACAAAGCCAAGCCTAAAGTCAGCAGTAGTTTTATTTCTATTTATAAATCCCGAAAAAAAAATAAACTCATGGCTCTACACAGAGATGAACCACTCTGTAACACAGCTGAGTGGGCTGAGGCCACAGGTTACAGCAGAGAGGAAAACAGAATCACTACGAAAGCACACAACCATTCTGTCTGCGCCTCTTTGCATCACAGCCCAGTGTGCAAAGGATCACGAACATGGGGTTTTCTAGCGTGGCAAAAAAAAAAAAAATATATATATATAAATAGGTTTCAGGCAGGGGTAAAATCCCATGAGGTGTTTAGTTGTACAATAGGAAACGGCTCTTCAGTTCTCTAGTTCTTACTTTCTAAGGCTGTGGCTTAGACTTTGCCTTTCCCTGCTCACAGGCACGGATGGGTACGTGTGCTTGCTCCCTCTCCGACCCTTCTTCTCTCACTCTCCACCCAGCATGCAGCAGATGCCACTTAACCTCTCCCCCCTCACAGCAGCTGCAACAGTAGTTACAAGCTGTTGGCATCATCATGCCTATGTCATTACACCGAAAATGTCCTTTACTCTGAAACTAGGATGCTTTTCAACAGACCATCAAAACAAGCAGAATGAAAAACGAGGAGAAGCCACACCAGAGAAAGACTACAGCTCCCCTAAAAATCTGGTCCATAGGCCTTTCAGAAAGCCAGTGTAGTCAGTGCCAGGGACAATCAGTATCTACTATTTTCTGGTTGTCACCATGTTACTCAGACCGTTCCTATTCGGGGGTTCCATGTGCAGGAACCCATATTATCTTTTGAGGGAAGGATCATGCTGCTGTTTAAAATCACTCTTTATTACTTCCTTCTGTAATCTCCATCTCAGCAGTATCTGAACCACTTACTAACAACTTACCCTCAGCACAACCTTCTGAGTTAGGAACGTGCTCTCTTCCAGACACCCATGCAATAGCTAGGCAGACAGTGAGAGATCTGGCAGCGCTTTAATCATAAAACTTAATCATCATCATAAGACTTCATCATCATAATCACCTCTCTCCCCTACAGCATGAACTCTGTCTGCTGAGAAATACTAAATGCTTCCTCCTTTGTGTAAATATCTGCCTGCACGCACACTTGCATACATAACCTGCATGGACTCAATGCTATATATTTAGTTCGTATTCTGTGTGTTGTTGAGGTGTCTGGGGGTAAGAGTCAGGATCAGGGAAGCGGTGTGTGCATGTGTAGTTGCGTACACACAATACATACACACAAGCTCAAATTAATGGTGGATACACATATGATGCTGTCTAACAGAGGAAACGAGGGGGATGACTTTTGAGGTGGAACTGGAAGAAGAAGGTGTTTGAGATTCTCAGTGCTTAAAATGAATCAACTCCCAGTCTACTATTAGCTGGGCTGGATGTGACAAATACATTTGATAAGCAGTAAAGCCAAAAGGCCAATCAGTAGAGTCAAAAGACCACTCAAAGCTAAAATATAAACGGCTTTAGATGCCAACGAGAAGAAAACCTCATGTTTGCTGTATGAGGTACTGAGAAACAGCAGGGATGTGGGAATGGCAGCGAGAGGAGCATGCAGGAGTGGGAGAGCTGCTGTGTCTGGAATGGCCACGAGTACAACGTGAGCACCGCTGGGGAGCTCTGACCTAGCAAAGGTAAGAACTACTCAAGCTGCAAAATAACTAAGGCTTGAGCAAGAGATTTAGTTGTGTGGATGGAGATTTAAAGGCCAAGTCTTTGAGAGATTTCAGAATATGAATCATAAGGATTGGACGTGACCTGAAGACACACTTTAAAATTGAAGGCTCAAAAATACATCCAAAAGTACAGGCTTTGAGCCTTGATCAGGACAGCGGTATTTTCACAGGCATATTAGTGAGAGATGAGAGAGTAGAGAGGAAAGAATAAGAGACCTGTCTCTCACCTCCCTGGAGAAAGATAGGACCATTATTGCTTGATAGAGCAACCTGCAATACAGGTGCTTCTCAGAGTCATGTTTAAAATTATTGCTTGGCCACTCACAGTGTTATTTCATTCAGAAAAGTTACTTTAGAGAACAACTATACACTTCTCAGAAAATCTGAAGGCAAGGTTACTGAGGGAACTTAACTTACTCGCCTAACGTAGGCACTGGTGTTTTATTACATATTCTGTAAGAAATGATTCAGTCTGGATCATCAGTACCTGTTCAAAATGCAGCTCTCTGTCCAAGATTTTAGAACAACAGTGGAAAGCCAGGAAGACACCAACTGCTTGTCCATTTATTCTGGTTTCCTTATACCAAGGGGTTTGAAGTAAGAGACAGTAACTCATTGCACAAACTTTAATGCTGCTTATGAGATAAAGCTGGTGCCCACTAGAAATGTACCACAGAGTCCGAAATTAGTGGAGAAAATTTATATTGAATAGTCATAGACTAAGCAAGTGTATAACCAGTGGTTGCGCCTCCTATATCCAAAATGCTAAAATCTATGGGCAAAATGCTACCCCTCTCCCCAGTATCACCAGAAAAATTGCTTTTGACTTAAATGAAGTCAGGATTATCATATGTATGCTTCCAGCAACAGATATACATGCATTCTCTAGACTAAATGTTACATTTGGAGACTATATGAAAGCAATTATAGATATAAATCACACTGTAATCTATTATATATGTGTTGTACGGGCATTGTATGCAATAAAGTACACTATTATGAGGAAGCCATTGAACGTAGCATAGAATCATTTAATGAAACTTATGAATTTGAAAGTATTTTGTATTACTTGCATTTTAATTTTGATAGTTCCAAGCATACTGTAATAAGCATGTATGAGCTTACACATACACAACCAAAGGACAAAACCACAAAACCCTTGTGCCTATATATTAACCTTATATGTATAAGCCAGTGTCTGCTGGTTGCTGATTGCACAAGGACTACAGCAGCAAGAGAAATTCTGCTTACTCTGAGAACTTGCTCTCTCTGTCATCCAGACTACAAGACTGTCAGAATTTTTCTTTCTCTGAAGCGGCTCTTCTATAGGCTGAATTGCTGGTTTTGCCAAACAAAGCAACTCAGCTAACCAAGGCTTCACCAAGGGCAAATCTTGCCTAACCAACCTAGTGGCCTTCTATGACGGAGTGACTGCATCAGTGGACAAGGGACGAGCTACAGACGTCATCTGCCTGCACTTCTGTAGGGCCTGTGACACGGTCCCCCACAACATCTTTCTCTCTAAATTGGAGAGATACAGTAGTTAAAAATGGAATTATTTTGATAATTGGAGTTAACTACTGTGTATTCTAAAGATGGTAAAAATGATCTAAAATTATTTAAGTTATAAAAACACCTGCTTTACTAATTCCTAACATTCCTTTTTAGTAATCTTTGTGAGGTAACAGAATGATGATCTTACAAAAATGGACTCTCTATTGGCTATTAATTCCTTTGGCCAGCCTTACTCTAACAGACCTTCAATTAAGTGTTAATTTTTACAGTATCCTTGCCTATTACTACGTTTTTCACAATTTGACCCTGTAAGTCTAAGAAGAGAGAATCCTACAGCTTTCAACCAGTGCAAACTCACCTTGCATAAAATTTGCAAGAAGAGTTTCTGATCTGAAACACAGAGTTAAATACATTTTCCCTCCCTATAAGAATAGCTGCCTACACAGAAGATTTATGAGCTAGACTGGGAGAACATTGGATTTAGCAACTTATTCACTTGCCTTTCTTCTGAACTAACGAACAGCAACAGCAATCATATCCCACAGTCCCATTCACAAAGTTCATAAAATAACTCGATCCAGTGATTCTGGCTCTGCACATTGCCAATAATAGTCACCATATAAGAAGTAATTTTCCTTGTTTTCATAGATACTTAAGGACAATATTCAATCAGTTGGCTTCCATGATCAATAGCATGAAGTTTAACTGTGAACAGCACTAAATTAGACTAGGATTGCTAACACTTCTACGGACAGTAAAATTCTAAACAGTTGGTGAGGTAAAGTCCATCTTACTCTCACAATTTCCTGATGTATTTAATTCCTCTAATATTTTTAATCATGTTTTTAACCAAATACACCTAAAAATCCAACACCCACTTCTAAAATTGAATGTATGTGTAACATTCATACTTAATTCTTTAAGAATACTGTGGCATAAGGAATCCAGTCACGGCACATATTGCTTTCCTGTCTTCTCCTTCCTTCTGTGGTACAGAATTTATACACAGCCTTGCAAAATTGTCAGAGAATTTATGAGACTCAGCACAAAATCTATTCACCTGTAACTTACTAAGGAGATGGTGTTGGAATCAAGATAATGATATTCTACTCGCTCATCCAAACAAAAGTACTCAAGCAGAAAATTCTGGTAGGATTTCACAGGGCTGCTTGTATGGTACCACTTAGAGAA